CGCAGCCCCCCTGCCCAGCACTGCACCGCACCCCCCGCCGAGTCCCCCAGCGCCGGTCTTTGGCACAGAGTCCCCTGACCCCCAGGGGCGTGAAGGCATCAGGCCATGGGGATTTTGATAGACAGAAAAAGGGGGATGCATTTGCCATTAATTATTTACATAGATCTAATTAGCTCCTCGTGAACTCATCCCACGCCACTGTTACAAGGTGGTAGCCTTTCTGTAAAGGATTCTGGCCACGGTTTGCTCTCCGATCCCTCACAAGGTGGCCTTGCCATGAAAGCAGTCCTTGCGAGGAGACATTAACGACTGCTCTGTGATGCTTCACCTGGATTCGATCCACTGCATTTTTCCGATTACTTAGTAAGGTTTCTCAAGCAGGGGGAAGACCTCTTCATACTAGATCAAAACTCTGCTTCAGTACCAAACTGCTGTGGAGTGCCACGGCCTAATTAAGGCAGTGTTAAGAAGTAGCAGTGCATGGCTACGATATCTCATTGGAATGGAGCAAAAGTTGCTGATCCTAGTTATGTCGTGTCTGAGAACCAGCTGTAAAACTCACAGCCATTTAATTTGCATCTGTCCTGCACCTGGGGAGGAACAACCCCAGGCACCAGTACAGGCTTGGGACGGACCTGCTGGAGAGCAGCTCTGCGGAGAGGGACCTGGGTGTCCTGGTGGACGACAGGTTAACCATGAGCCAGCAGTGTGCCCTGGCTGCCAAGAAGGGCAATGGGATCCTGGGGTGCATGCCCTGGTGAGGCCTCATCTGGAGTACTGTGTCCAGTTCTGGGCTCCCCAGTTGAAGAAGGATGAAGAGCTACTGGAGAGAGTCCAGCGGAGGGCTACAAGGATGGTGAGGGGACTGGAGCATCTCCCCTACGAGGAGAGGTTGAGGGAACTGGGCTTGTTCAGCCTGAAGAAGAGAAAGCTGTGAGGGGACCTAATAAATGCTTATAAATATCTGAAGGGTGGGTGTCAGGAGGATGGGGCCAAGCTCTTTTCAGTGGTGCCCAGTGACAGGACAAGGGGCAATGGGCACAAACTGAGGCACAGGAAGTTCCGTCTGAACATGAGGAAGAACTTCTTCCCTCTGAGGGTGACGGAGCCCTGGCCCAGGCTGCCCAGGGAGGCTGTGGAGTCTCCTTCTCTGGAGATATTCCAGCCCCGCCTGGACAAGGTCCTGTGCAGCCTGCTCTGGGTGACCCTGCTTCGGCAGAGGGGTTGGACTGGATGACCCACAGAGGTCCCTTCCAACCCCTACTATTCTGTGATTCTGTGATTCTGTGAAAGAACTGGGTCTTTTGACTCCATTGAAATGGCCTGCATTGTTAAGCAGAATTTGGCTCTTGATACTTCTGGACTCTGCAAGCGACTGATGCCATGCATGCCTCCTGCATGTCCTACACTTTCACTTCTTGAAGATAAAAATCACAGCAGCTTAGGGGCAATGAAGAATGCCAGAGCCTCTTGATCTAGCAGCAAAGCCCACCTGCTGATTCATGACCCAATGTATACTCTCCCTAAAGCAGAGTTGAAAAAAGACTGTAGGTGGGTATAAGCTCTCTCACTGTTACAGAAGGTGGGGAAGAGGTCATGGTCCCCAGTCAGCTCCCTTTCAGGCAGAAGGGGAGCCCAAAGATCATCTCTTGGAGACAAAGGGTCAAACTATGCCGCATAGGGCAGAGTCACCAGGGAGCAATTACTTCCCAGGTGTCAGAAGGTGAAACACTCATGAGATGCAGCGTTGCCGATCACCAGGGCATCACGCTGTTTCACGGGTTAAATACTTGGGAACAGACCTGGCATGTCTAGCATCTCAAGCCCAGCTTCTAAGAAAATTGCCCACCGCGTGTCCCAGCTTGCAGCAGTGCTGGGACCGTGGCCTGTTTTGCTGTGGAGGACAGACAAGCAGAGCGCTGCTCCCACAGCCTTGCAGGGCTGGCCCGTACTGAGAATAAAAGCACCATGGGCTGGTAGTACCATGAGCACAGCTACGGCTCTCGCGTCACGACACAGCGCTCTGGCAGCCATGAGAAAAGACAGACACGAGCATCACCCGCTGAGCTGCTTTCCCTGCTAAACCATCCTCCTAGAAGTAATTCCTCTGCACCTCCTACAGTCTCCAACTACTTTTAGTGGGCCAGATGTTCAGCCCAGCTACCTGTCTTGGATGAGACAAGGACACTAATTTACTCTGGCTGTGTTTTGAATCTGTATCAATATTCCGTGGCTTGATGGCTTGCTAGTTGCCTGCTGCAGGAGCACGTTTACTAGCATGTGTACTATTTGGGAGGAGCGTTGCCCCTGTGGTGCTTCCATCTCTTAAGCATTAAAGTGTGTTAAACTGTGCTCTGCTTCAGGGCAAATTGCTGGTTTGAGTTATTCTGTAATTAATATTTTATAGCCATAAAGAATCTATCTAGTTAGGGGACAAAGAGAGCTACAGTGGCACCAGCCTCTTCAACAGCTTACCTCTGGGCAGGTGACAATCACGGAACTGTGTCCAGGGGGAGGAAGGGGCTGCCCAACTTGTGCCTTGTAAAGTGTGACAGCCTGGCAAGGCAATCACACAGATGACCAGGGGAACAAAAATGGAAGGAGAATTTAGAGAGGGAGTCTTTGTGCCTAGCAGGGCGGGGAGGGCGCAGGGAAATGGTGCTTGCAGAGTTTCAGCTGCTTTTCTTGGTTCCTAAGTGGTTATTTAAAGAACAAGTGATACCCAAGCAAAGGGTCTGCCAAGGTGTGAATTCTGGAATTTTATTCTCCCTCTCTACAGTTCAGAAACAACCTATCATGCCTTCAGCAAGGCATTTAATGATAGGCATTTCCATTTCCACACAAAACACTAACACCCTCACCTTACAGTGTTTTTAAGCCTGCCTGTTTTTGCCCTAGGCTGCCCACTAGAAGTGGCAGGCAACTCTGGGAAGGTGGCATGGAGTGATGGAGAGGGGGTGAGCAGAAGCTGCTCCATATCCATAACACAGGCCAGCTGAAGTCATCTAGAGAAAACACCCAGCCACTGCCACACAAGCTTTTGCCATCTCTTGCAAAACAGGCTGGGAGCACTGCTCCTTTCCTTACCCCCCTTGCCATTTTCTAGTTCTTCAGATGTAGCAGAAGGATGAAGAAAGAGACAACACCAGGCCAGCAGGAGCATGCTTGAGAAGGCACAGTGGCTCTCTGACCTGTCAACCGCTACTCCACACGCACATCGATCAGTCGGAGGACACAACACAGCCCAACTGAACAGTTGGCATCCTGTGGTGTTCAAAATCATGCTGGCTACCTGGGATCAGCCCTTGATCTGTGCTGAGCGCTATCTAGGCTCACAACGCTTTCCGCTCCCTCTTCACATCTTCTCAAAAGCCTTGGAGCCATGATGACGCTCATAATAAAAACCACATAAGGAACAACTGACCATCATTAAAACAGAATACAAACATCCAAATAATTAAACTAGGACCGGAACAGTTGCTTGATTCTGCTGATGCCAGGTAAAACCTCTGAGAAGCAGATCTCAAAGACGCACCTCCCATAGCCCTGAAGCTGCTTCTTAATAGCTGCCACAGGTGTACGTGTAACTGTGCCGACATTACCTACGGCCACAGCGGAGCCTTTCCGAGCCAGCCTGGTCCTCTCGGCTAGAGGTGCTCTGAAACTCCCTGGGGCCAAAGAGGCTCGAACGCTGCCTCTTCCTTGGCCTCTCGCCCTTGCTCCTCGTGTCCCCAGCGCTCTGTCTGGCCGTCCCTCCTCAGAAACAGGCCTTGCACTCAGTACCCCCCCAAGCTCCCTTGGTTTACGCACACCAAGTGGCTATTCTTCACAGGCAGGAGATCACAGAGACAGATTAAACACTTTCCTGAGGCGTGCCGATCCAAGCAACATCAGGGCTGCCTGTCCTACGTGGCGTTCCGCCGCTGTTCCCCCTTTCTCTTCCTCAGGGCTTGGCACAGGGCACACAGCGCTCTCGCATCCTTCTCTGAAGCGGGTCAGCAAGGAAGAGCAGCCACGCTCAGCCCCCCGAGGGCACCACCTGCCAGCCCCTCACAAGCCCAGCCAGTAGGTTTCCCCAGGTAAAAAAAAAAAAAAAAATTTTTTTTTTTTTTTTTTAAGATAAAATCCTTGGAGAAGTATTAGCCACATTTATGAAGAACAACTTTATTTTTCATTATTAAACTCTTGTGAAATTGTTTTTAAAAAGATTTTAACATTTTAAAAAGCTTAACTTTAAACTCTTCATCATATTATTCATATTCTCAGTGGTTTCTCTCAATGCTAATGTATGCAGGAAAAGTAACTAATGAAACTAAGAACACTGTTAATTAAAACAGAGCAAAGCAATTAGACCTTTGATTAGTAAACAAAACAGGTACCAAGAGACATAATTACTAACTTACCATCCTCCTCTGTTCCCAGCAGACTCTTTTCTTCTTCATCTCTCAACCAGATCTGGCACAGAAATTGTACAAATTCAAACCTTAGTTTGTTTTTATTTCTCTCTTTTTTTAAACATTATTGTGTGGAACTGTTAAGGACAGCAAGTTACAGCTGTTGCTCCTTTTAGCAAGTGCAAATCTTGTTGATTTTTGAATCAAATCAACTACTTGAACTAGTTAAAAACAAAACTTACAGAGGTCCAACCAAAATATCTCCAGAGAAGGAGACTCCACAGCCTCCCTGGGCAGCCTGGGCCAGGGCTCCGTCACCCTCAGAGGGAAGAAGTTGTTCCTCCCCGGGGAACGAAGCGGGAAACAAGAGCCGAAGGGGAGCTGCGCCTCTGAGGGGGGCAATGACAGGACCAGCTGCTCTGACAACCTCGTCCTGATGACCTAAAAATGATGTTTCATATCCGCTGTGACAACCATTTAGAAGGGGCTTGCCTTTTTCTCGCGTGGTGTTGAAGCTGGATTTTTAGACGGCTTCAGAGGAGTTGTAACTGCTCAGTCACTGGGGCTGGGTGGCACCCGGTCATCTGCTCAGCAGGCAGGTTGTAGGCTCAGTGCTGTGGAAATCACAGAGGAAGAAATTTCCACATTGTGCAAATCAGAAAAAAATTACTCTTAATGTGGCACCAGACAAAAGCAAACAGAATCCGCCATTACTTGCTGCAGCGGCAGCGCTGGGCACTCAGCTCAGGCTCTAAAAATTGTGGCTGTCCTTCCTCCAGCAAAACACCTTCTTGTCACATGCCTTGTTTCTCCTCGTCTTCAGAGTCCTCTGTAAAGCACCTTTACAGTGCTTGAACTGCAAGGTATTTCAGCAGATGCCACGCTTGTCACCAACAGCTGGTCAGGTGAAGGGCAGGAGGGCTGTACCCCGGATTTTGCCACCTGATTTCATTTTACCTTGCTCTGAAGATGGCAGGTCTTGCCTCCCCAGTGCTCCCCGCAGGAGCTTCCTCCTCCGCAGCTTCAGCCCTCCATCAGGTTACCTGCCCCAGGAGGAAAGCCTTCTGGTCCATCAACATCGACCTTCTCAGCACCGAGACTGCCTAGGCAGTACCTGCAGTCACCGGCCTTCAGCAGCAGTGTAAGAGAGAGAAGGAAAAAGAATTCATTATTTGAAAAAGGGTGCAAGTTGCCGAGAGCGGAATACAAAGTTTACCTGCTTTAAACCACCTGGTTTTGGTGCACTTGCCTCTCCTCAGTGACTTTATATACAGCTTTTCATGCCCAAGGTATGTCTAGGGACCTACAGCAGATAACGTATGTCCAAAATTGACGCTATTGATACTAAAATCACGCAGTCTGTGCAGAACTTCCACTGAAATGATTTCTACACGAGTCTCTGCATCTCATTGCGCTCGATTTGTAAGAAAATCACCAGCGTATCAGCAGGAAAGGAATAAATCACTACCTCCACTAAAGTCCAAAACAGCCTCTTGCAACGAGCCATCATGGTTAAGGTTGCGATGTTTTCCCCATTCTCAGGGAAGAGCCTCGTCTCCCTCCCAACTCAGTTACTCACCGCCGTCTCCTGCCAAGAGACCTTACTCCCACCAGTCTGCTGGAGCTCATCCAGCTGACAACGCCTGTCGTGGGAAGAGACGCTCCAGGCTCCAGCTTCAGTAGAGAATCACAGAATCACAGAATAGTAGGGGTTGGAAGGGACCTCTGTGGGTCACCCAGTCCAACCCCCTGCCGAAGCAGGGTCACCCAGAGCAGGCTGCACAGGACCTTGTCCAGGGAGGGCTTGAACAACTCAAG